TTCCGACGCGTGCGCGAGGCCGCCAGTCGAGAGGCCGCGGGCTTGCCGCGCACTGCTCCCGTCCAGCTGGGTCGGGATTGGCGCAAGACCTTGCGCGCCGTCCTGCACAACGCTGAGGTCTCGACGGGCATCGCCATCGCAGAACGTGCCGCTCGTGCTGGGGACGCACCCGCGTCGTCCACTGGCCGCTCCTTGGCCGAGGTGGAGGCTGAGGACCCGCGCGCCTTGGCAAGGCCCGCCGACGACCCTGCGTCCAGCTTCAGCCGTCGTGAGGGGCGCGCGGTCCGCGCCCGCCTGGGCCCGCGGGATGAAGCAGTCGAGGACCAGCCCAACCGCGGTGGTCACGCGCCGCACTCCGCCTCGCGCACGGGCGCCGCGCGCACCAGGCGCGCCGCCAGGCAGCGGCGGGCTTCGATGGCGGCGCTCCCCGCCCCTGAGGGGGGGGCCGCCACGGCGCCTGGCCGCAGGGCGCGTCGCACTGCCAACGCGCGCCGCTGGGCAGGCGCGGCACGCCCCAGCTCCGCCGCGGGAGTGGGCTCCCCACCGCGGAGCCGCAGCCCTGCCCGCAGCCGTACGCGGTCTCCAAACCCGTACGGGACCGACCACACCTCTCCCTCGGGGGGCTGCTCGTCGCCTCCCGTCGACGGCCCGATCTCGCCCGAGGAGCCGTCGGAGCCGCCTGCGGGGGAGGCATCGGAGGGCCCGCACACTCCTGACGGGTCCCCGCCCGCGAGCGTTCGCAGCCGCTCGAGAGCGGAGCCCGCGTGCGACGAGGACTCTCCGACGGAGCTCGAGGACGTCGTGCTGAGTGCCCTCGCAGACTCCTCGATGGACCTCGAGCGCGTCGTGGCGGGCCTGAACCCCGAGGTCCTCCGCCGCCTGCAGGCGGCCTTCCCTCGCCGCTCGGGGGCCTCTCCGCCCGCCGCTCACGCCTCGGTTCGCAGCCGCTCTCGGGGCCGCGGCACGCGTGTAGGCTCCGAGACGCCGCGGCCCGTGCCCCCGCCGCCGCCGCCGCCCCCTCACCACTCTGGTGGGCGTGCGGCGTCGCGATCCCGCGCGTCGGCCGCAGGCCAGGGGCTTAGTCGGGCCGTCGCGCGCGGCTCCTCTCGCGCGCCTTCGCGTCAGGCGACGTCGCCTCGGCGTCGCGAGGTGCGCTCCCCTCGAGTCGCTCCGAAGCGGCGCCCGAGCCCCGCTACTGCGCAGCGGCCAGCCACGTCCCGCCATGGTGCGAGCTCGGGCGACGCCCACGCAGGCAGCTCCCGCGCGGACTCCGCTGCTCAGGCCCCTCAGTCTTCGGTAGGCACGCGCTCCTCCAGCGATGCTGTTGCGGCCCCGCAGGGCGGAGGGCGTGCCGCCGAGGAAAGGGGGTCTTCGAGCGGCCCCGCGCCTGGCCGAGATTCAGGGCACGAGCTGCATCCCAGCGGCTCCCACAGCGGCGACGCTGGGAGCGCCGCGGCTGCAGCCTTCGCAGCGCGGCGCACGGCCTCCGCGGCCGTTGAGCAGCCCTTGCCTCCAGGGGCCGCCACCGCCCTAGCGTGGCGTCTCAACCTCGGCGGTGAGAAGGTCACAGTGGTGAGGTGGGGACCCGCCTGGCAAGCTGCCTTCCAGAGCGCGGCGTCGTGGCTGAGGTCTTTCGCACCCGCAGGGGCCGCCGAGCCCGAGGGCAGAGATGACCTGCACTGCCTCCTGCAGGCCTTGCACGCCTATAAGCGCCTGTTTCAGACAGGCGGCGCCGAGCCGATCGACGAAGCCTCGTGGTTGCATCCTTACGTGGCCGTCGTCGAGCCCGAGGCTATCCCCGCGGGCGCTGACCTCCAAGCCATGGGGGCGGGCGCCATCCGTGGCATCGGGCTCGGCTCAAAGATCGAGCACAGGAGGCGCGCGGGCAAGTTGGCCTGCCTTTTCGACCTTCTGTACCACGTGCAGGACGGTCACGGCGCCATCCCAGCAGCGCTGTGGGGATCTCATTCCCCTCCGTCCGAGATCCTCGACGCGTTCGCGGAGGTGGTGCCCGTTCCACATCATTCGGGCCTCACGTCCTCGGCAGCTCGTTCCGAGCTCGCCGAATCGGCCGCAGCTGCGCGCGCCGAGCCGCGCCCGCCCTTTGACTGGGCGACCCTCGAGGGAGGGGGCGCTCTGCCCGCCGAGATCGAAGCAGGGGCTCGCCGTGCTCACCGTAACATGGGCGGATCCTTCACCTCGGCGCGGGCGATGCTGGCGGAGGCGTCGGGGTTCGAGACCGACGGGCGGGACACCCTCGTTCCGCCCTTCTACGCGTCCAGGAGCAGGAGGGCCGCCACGCTGATCAGCTCTCCCAGCCCTGGCCGCCCTGCGCTCATCCTGTGGTGCGTCTGCGGCCTCTGCATCTCTCTGGGAGCCGCGGCGCCGACCGCAGGCCAAGGGCTTAGTCGGGCTGCGCCTTCCGCGCCCGCTCGCCCTCCGCGCACTCCCTTCGTGCGCGATTCTCACCTCACCTCCGCGTATCTCGATCGTCGCTCGAGATCGATTGATGCGTTCGAACTGTGGTTAGCAGAACACACTGGCGTGCCGCCCGCCACTCTTTACCGTAGCGGGATACTTCTCGCCCGCTTCCTCGCGACCTTCGGCGTGTGGCTTCATGATGCAGGTTTCCCTCATTATATTCTGGTTCATGCCATCTTGGGAATCCAGAGCGCTCATCCGCATTGGAAGGCCTTTCTAACTGAAGCTTGGGACGTAGCGAAACAATGGAAGCTCGCGGAGCCGCCAAAGCTCCGCCCGCCCTTACCTCGCGCTCTGCTGCGCGCTATGGTCGGTCTCTGTTTCGCCTGGGACTGGCCTGTGATGGCGGCCTTGCTGCTCATGGGCTTCACGATGTTCCTCAGGCCTGGCGAGCTGCTGGCGTCACGCCGCTGTGACTTGTCGCTTCCATGCGACCGCCTCGAAGTTGAAGGGGATGCTTTTCTCTCGATTCTTGTTCCAAAGACCAGGAGAACGTACCCGACGCAGCATGCTCGCTGCTCCGATCGGGGCACGGTGAAGATTCTGAATCAAGTGTTTGGGCGGTTGGCTTCCACCGATCCTCTCGCCCCTTTCGGTGCGAGCGGCTTCCGTACTCGGTGGAATCATTTGCTTTCGGCCCTGGGCGTCCCTCTTGCCAAAGCGGGTCAGGGGCTCAACCTGACGCCCGCATGTCTGCGGGGCTCTGGCGCAACAGACTTCTATATCGCTACGGAAGACGTCCCTCGCGTCTTCTGGCGGGGGCGTTGGCGTCAGGCTTCCAGTGCTGAGCGCTACCTGCAAGCCGCCGCCGCTTCCACAGTTCTTGCTGCGCTGCCCGTGCCCGCACGGGCGCGAATCCTGTTTCTTCGCCACCGCCAGCGACCGCCTTGTCGCCTCATTTCTCCAAGTCGGCCCCGCCGCTTGGCCTGCCCTACTTGCGGCCGCCCGCCGAAACCTTGTCACTTCGCAAGGTCCTTGAGCACGGGTATGGCTGCCTCGCCGTCGTCGGCGAGCAGGCGGACTCCCCCGCCTGACGCGCGGCGCCCCGGCATGAGCGCGCGGGACGGGCCTGCCCATTTTGGGCCGCCCCGCGCGCGCACGCCGCGGCCGCGCTCGGAGACAGCTCGCTAGCGCGCGAGCGGGAGAATGCCTCTTCTATTCTCTGTGAGCAAGCTCCTGCTGTCTCCGCAGCTTCTCTGCCCCCCTCCCTCCTCTCCCAATCTAAGGCTGATGGGCGCTGCCTCGCCGTCGACGGCGAGCAGGCGGACTCCCCCGCCTGACGCGCGGCGCCCCGGCATGAGCGCGCGGGACGGGCCTGCCCATTTTGGGCCGCCCCGCGCGCGCACGCCGCGGCCGCGCTCGGAGACAGCTCGCTAGCGCGCGAGCGGGAGAATCATCATCATCACCATCATCATCATAATCATCCACGTCATCATCGGGACACCGACGGGACACCGAAGGGACACCAGCGGGACACCGGCGGGACACCGCGGGGCCCCGGCCGCCCGGAAGGGAATCATTTGGTCTGGCCGCGCCTCAGCCACACGGGACACCAGCGGGACACCGGCGGGACACCGCGCGCCACCGGCCGCCCGGCGGAGAATCATTTGGTCCGGCCGCGCCTCAGCCACAGGAGATTTTCTCTCGCCCGCCCACGCAGCTTCGCCTCGCCCGCACGGCACGCACGAACACGAAACCGAAATCGATTTCCCGGTAGGGGGGCTCTCCGTTCCACTTCGATCTCACCCCCTCACCTCCGACATATGGGAACGAAGAATGACATAAACATAAAAACTCGGAGGTCCGCGCGGATTTCTCGGACCCGCGCTGGGGCCCCCTGGCGGCGCCTCCGGCGCCGCCCCCGGCGCGCTGCGCGCGCCAGGGAGGGGGGTCAAGCGCCGATCCGAGAAATCCGCGCGGGCCCTCGAGTTGTTATGGTTCTGTCATTGTTCGTTCCCCTATGATACAGTCGCAGCCGATGAGCAAGGGTGGGCAGCCTCCCCAAGGGTGCCCTCGCATGCTTGCCTCTTCGAGCCAACCTGAACCCCGTCTTCGGTGTCCAGCCCTTACGTTGCATATTCGGGGGACCTCGCTTGTCCCCAAAATTGTTGTCTTTTCGTGTGTCCGACGCGGGCCCCATGCGGACTCGACGCGGATTTGGCGTGGATGTGACGCGGATTCGACACGGATTCGACACGTATCCGACGAGTCCGACATGGATTCGACACGGATTCGACGCGGATAGGGTCGCGACAGGACAGCCAAGGTCCCCCGAGGATGCAATATAACAGCCCCTCTCGAAAGGCCTCGACGTGCGCGTCCAGGAGTCTTGCACGCCTATCGCGCATCCTTGCTGTCACTTTTGACTGTTTACAGGACCGCCGCCTGGAGGATCGATTTTCTCGGACCTCCACTGGTGGTGGATATACGGTTAAAATACATCCACGTCCACCGCCTGCTGGGTCCCCAGGACGTCGATTCCCATGCGGTGGGTATGGATGAATCCCCGCCTCGCACAGGAGGAGTCTTGTCGCAGGGCTAAGCACGTCACCGAGATGGTTGACATCCTCGTGAAGACTCAGGACCTCACGGCTCCACCACGAAGGGCCTGGGGAATGAGGGCCGTTTTTCCTTCTTGCCGCATCCGGCATCGAGGCAGTTGTTTTGTGCTCTATGTGCTGTGTGCCGGCATGGGCAAGCTTGTCCTCGCCGCTCCTCCTCCTCGTCCTCCTCCTCCTCCTCGTCCTCCTCCTCCTCCTCCCCATCATCCTCACTCTTCCTCCTCCTCCTCATCCTCCTCCTGCTCCTCCTCACTCTTCCTCCTCCTCCTCCTCCTCCTCCTCCTCATCCTCCTCCTCCTCCTCCTCCTCCTCCTCCTCCTCCTCCTCCTCCTCCTCACTCTTCCCTCCTCCGGCAACGTCACCCTGGCGAGCTGGTGGCTCTCCGTCTGCAGGCAAGCTCTAGCGCGGGGTTCTCGCATCGCAGGTTGTGCGATGGGCCGGCTGGCCTGTCGGCAGGAGGAGGAAGGGAGGGGGGGGGGCAGAAGTCCGGAGGGTGGAGGGGGAAGGACGAGGGGGATCAAGAGTGCCTATTTGTGTAGTTGCCTGTACACCTTAGGCGATGCTTAAGAAAACCTAAGTTTTCGGCCAGAGTCTCGATTATTCTTAATGTTTCAATGTAAATCCTAAGATTAGAATAGACATTCGGGGTTTTTATTAAAATTCTGAGACTATGAATTTCTTAACCCATGATTTCTTAAGCATTTCGCAGGGTGTACAGTCGGGGCCCTGAAGAAGGAACGTTTTTCGTTGGGGAGGGGCGCGGTGTTCCTTGATGGCTTCAGCAGTTTGTCTGAGGTTATCCCGAGGTTTTCCATGGGAAATCGGAGCTTAACTTATGGGGACAAGGGGCCTCGTTCCTTATTTAGGGTTCCGTAGGTCAACGCCCCGACTGTATCTGCAGCGTGGCCAGGATGAATCCTGCCATGGCAGGGGCCCGGGGAACGATTTTTTTGGTGGTTTTTGACAGGGGGGAAGTGGGGAGTCTGAGGTTTGCTAGTTGCATCGTTGCGTTGTCGCCCAGCGGCCAACATCCCGACACTGACGAAGCCTCAGTCCCCCTCCAGAAGCAAGCAGTAGCCAAAACCCTGCTCGCTGACGCACTGACGCCCGAGCTTCCCCTTGCCTGTTAGCTCCCCGGTCCCTCCCCACACTGCCGGCGTTTGCGAAACTAACGCCCACCAGCAGAAATACCGAAAGGGCCCCCCCGGCACCCTGTATCTCAAAGTTGGCGGGCGACCGTGCTGGGTGGGGGCGCAAAGTGTTGCGAAACAAACGCCCGCTCTTGCGTGGAGCTGACCGCCTCGCGTCAACCATGAAACTATACCGGGGGCACGGGGGGCGCGCTTCGACGCCTCTGTTGCCTAGACGCGGCACGGGCGTAGATGTCGCAAGCGGCGGGATCCCGCCCTCTCCCTCCCATCCCTTCGGATGCAACCCCTGGGAGGTCAAATTCTGATTTTGCCCTCGTCCGAAATCCGGCTCAATCCCGCTCAATCCCGCTCAATCCGGCTTAATCCCGCTTAATCCGGCTTGATCCGGCTTAATCCGAGGCCTACTCTGGCGTAACAGCCCCTCAACGGGGCTTAATCCTCTTTAATCCTTCCGACGAAAACCTCCCAGCAGTTGCCTTCTAACATCCCTGCCGCTTCCCACCCCCCTTGCGCCCACCCCTCCCCGTCCTTTGCAGTGGAGCCAGGCGGCTCCAAGAAGAAGGGCGCGACGGAGCCAGACGGCGCACCTTTGCCGACGCCTGCGGACTGAAAAAGCGCCCCCTTTACGTCGGGCCTGTTTCTCTATAGAGGGGAATGTCCAAAAATGATCCACAAGAATAGTCCGGGGACAGTCTTTGCGGGGCATTTTTGGACAATGTGGGGGGCGCTTCTTGGGGGTATGTATCATTCGTCGTCCAAAAATCCGCCTGCGGGGGGGGGGACGCGCCCGACTTCGTGCCGCCTCCCCCGGCCCAGGACGCCGCTCTGGAGGGCGCGGAGGGAGCGAGCCCCGCGGAGCAGGCCGGTGGGCAGACCCCGGGTCCGCGGCCGCCCCGGGAGGACTCCGACGGCGAAGGCTCGGGGCAGATCTCGGGGGCGGCAGAGGAGGGGGGTGATGACTAGGGGGGGGGGGGAATACCATGGCGAGGGCCACGATATTTCCGCAGGTTTCGCGGCACCTCTTCTTATCTCATCACTTCCCTGGCCCCTCCTTTGGGCCGCGCACATGCTGCCGGCCATGATTTGCACCCCCCCTCTTGGACACCCCCCTCTTGGCCGCCCCCGAAGATCACATTCGAAGACCTCTTTCTGAAAGTGAACGAGCTCACCAACATAGCGCCGGGGGCTCCCGAGCTCGGGCCTGGAGTGGAGTGGTGCGGCAGGCTCCTGCTGAAGGAGCTCCGGCTGGCAACTCGGAAGACGGAGGAGCAGAAGGACGCCAAGTATTCGAACGGGGAGAGATTGGACGCTCTTTTGAATCAGGTTGAGTCCCTGGATGACGTCGCGTGGAGAGCCAAACATGCCGTGCCCAAGCGCATACGTGCTGAGGTGCGCGAGGCCTACAGCAGTGGTTGGTGGGTCCGCCGGGCGCAGAAGAGGAAGGACATCACAAAGGCCATCAAGTTTGTCTTAATGGCCAAAGACACCCTTCCGTGGCTTCTGCTGGCCGCTCTGGCATCCGCCGCGTCCTCAAGTATCGGAACCATGTCCCTTCACTATCGCAGCGAGGTCCTGCAGACACTGCGGGCCCCAGGCCGCGCGCCCCAAAACAAATCAAGCGTAACACAGGAATCACATAACATGTTACGGCCAGCAATTGTTGCTTGGCGTGTCGCGCCGCCGATTCTGGCCCACCGACCTTCGGCGCGTCACGCCAATCACGACCCAGTCCCCTGACATCAACGTCCCGAGCCTCTCCCAGCCTCCCGCCACGCGGAGCGGAGCGACACGCTGTCAGCCCGCAGGGTGTAGCGGGTCGCCTGGGCCGCCGCCGCGACACGCTGAGCACATGTTCTTGACCCTTGGCATCGTTCGCACGTGTGCATTTATTCCTTCGGCGAGGACCATCGAGGAGCATCTTTGATCATCAGACGAAAAAACCACGCACGAAACCGAAAAAAACACAGGGGATGGACGTCCGAGCGATGGCGAGGACCGCAGAGCTCTAAGAAGGCCGCGGCGCCTTCAAGCGCGCCACCTCGGCCATGCTGATGGTCGAGCTCGTGGCCACCGCCGCCAAGGCCCTCGAGACGCAGCTGCGCGCCCGCAGCATGGTGCTCATGTCGAGGTCCCTCCAGGTGCGCATGTTCGAAGCGCTGATCCTGCGGGCTCCTGCCGCGTCCGCCGAGGGCATCGCCCTCCTCTGCCGCTGCTCCCTCCTCCCTGGAGTGCCCACGTCGGACCCCTTCTCGTCTCCCCCGCTTCGGCACCTCCTCCCACTCCCACGGCTGTTCCTCATCCTCCCCTCCTTTCTACGAGTGCTCCAAGTTCCGCCTTTTCGTCGTGCTGCTCATCCTCCTTCCTCCCCGTGGCTGGCCTCCTCCGCATCAGCATCAGCAGCAGCATCATCATCATCATCATCATCATCATCATCATCATCATCATCATCATCATCATCATCATCAGCAGCAGCAGCAGCAGCAGCATCATCATCATCACCACCATCATCATCATCACCATCATCATCATCCTCTCTGAGGCTGGATGCTTGTGGCTGTCTTCGTTGATCGTTTTCCAAACTTAATTGATCGCGTCTCGGGGTGGTGTGGTGGGGATGGGCCGTGTAAGATAGTAGTGCAGGTTATATCCCTCGTCCTGCCCTGCTGGTCTTTCGTGTCCGCTCAAGCTTTTTCTGGCTCGAGATCGTTCGAACCAGGAGCGCGCGCTCGCCCTTCTGCCCCACCAGCGTGGGTGCTCGCGGCGCGGGCGCTGATCGTCGGCACCACGGCGAGGCGGTGGTGGCTCGCCAGTGCTGCCTTGCTCTCGTACATCGGGGACTGGGGAGTCCTCGACTCTGTCCTTTCGAAGCCGCTCGTGGAGCCCGAGGACGACGCGTCCCTGAGGTACACGAGAGAGTCCGAGCGGCTTAGCTTCTACGACTATCTGCGGGTGCACACGTCCAGCGTGACACGATGGAGCCGCTTCGATCGGACGACTGGCCCCCAGCGGGGGCATGTGGTCCTCCTGGTGATGCGAATGTACCCCAAGAAGAAGAACGACACAAGGTGGATCTACGTGAAGCCGGACCGCGCGCTCGGCGTGGGCGACATCAAGGATCGGGCGAAGATGTCGAGTTGTCGACAGCCAGGCTGGGACTACGAGGCGTTCCCGACCCTCACGGCCCCCGAGAAGGCGGACATCCTGGAGAAGGCCAAGGAGAAGCAGCTCGAGGCCGAGCTGTATCTGTCCAACATCCGCGGCTACGTTGCCTCATTGTCCTGGTTTCGCTCTGGTCTGGTGGGCGTATGGAGCACATGGAACTGGGGGTCGACGGTGGGCGCCGCCTTCTTTTTCTGGAGGGTGGCGGTCTACTGCAACCTGTGGCAGTGGATGCGCTGGTCAGTGGAGAAGCTCGAGGACGGCCACAACATGATACTCGAGATCGACGATTTCCGAGGATATCTGCACGACCTCTACCAGGACGGCAAGCTCGAGATTCCCATCATGATCTTCACCGCGGTGGTGGCTATCGGGCCAAGTCTCCTGCGTTGCTGCAGGCAGCGCCCCTCCCCTCTGCTCGCGGGGGTTTCGCCTCCAGTGAGCGACGTGGACAGCGACGGGAAAGCGGGCCACTCGGTGGCGGGGTCGTCGGACGAGTCCGAGCCAGCCAAGGACATGCAGGAGATGAAGGCCATGATGAGCAACCTGCTCGACGAGATCACCAAGTCGAGGTCGGAGTCACCACGTGCCACCACGAGTCGGAGTGCCTCGTCGGCCGCGTCCCCTGGAGAGAGCAGTCACGCCAGCTGGGAGAGAGCCCCCAGTGTCAACACGGACTCCAGCATGGACATGCATGTGGACAGGATGATCGACCGGCTGAAGCGCTTCGAGGACACGATCAATGCGGACAAGGCCTCTCCTGGATGCAAGCCCTTGCAGGACGCCTCGTCCACGTCGGCCACGGCGGGATCTACGACGTGCCCTACCATTGGCCTGGGGACGAAGGAGACGCTGGAGGGCGTGGGGGTGAGCCTCGAGCCCTTGCGGGAAGCACTCCGGGACCCCAGGGAGAGGTTGCTGGCCAACCTCTCGAAGATCGATGCGCCGCCCACCTTCACCCTCCCAGCGGGCCTCACCTCCCGCGTGGCACCCGAGCTGCTGGTCCAGACCTACGGGAAGTACGGCAGCATGGTGAAGTTCGCGACGGACTGGGTTCGCGGTTCGCCTCAAGGAGCTGAATCGCAACCACATCGGCCACGAGATGATGCTGCACTGCATGACGCTGGACCGGATGCTGGAGGCCTCGCCCGAGTTCATCCAGACGGCGGGCTGCGAGATCTTATGCGCGCGAGTTTATGCTCTGAAGCGGGCGCCCAAGGACGTGGCATGCATCAACGACTGGAAGCAGCCCCGGGGCAGCGGGGCCAACAAGTGGAAGTCCAAGGTGCGCTGGGACCTCGCGAACGAGCTGGACTGGAGGTCTGTCACGGAGGGCGAGGAGGCGCTCCCAGGCGTGGAGCGCGACTTGACGGCCAGGCTGCAGCAGAAGGCTCTCTTCCAGAAGTATCTGCAGGAGGGGGGCTCGGACGCCGTGAAGGAGGAGGACGAGTAGACGCTGGAGAAACTCTCCCTGTCTGTGGTGCCTCGCGGGACCCCCCGCGCTTGAGGGAGGGGCTGGCGGGTTGCCGTTCCGTTCGCCCTGACGACGGCCACTCTGGTGGGCTTACTCTCCCGATAGCTACGGTGACGCTCCTGCTTGTCGCGACGATCTTTTCGCGTGGCCCTGCGCCCCTCGGGAGGCGACGCCGTGCCCGCTTTTCTCCATCCACGCACTTCTCCATCGTCTACCTCGACGGCGGCCACAGGCGCACCTCCCGAAGCCGTTCCTCGAGACCGAGACCTTCTGCCGGATTTGCCGCTGCTACCGTGGTCGGCGGTGGTGGACCGCGCGGGGCCGATGCGCCAAGGCACACTGAGACATGTGCGAGCTCTTGCCAACGGGCTGATCCGATCCATGCACCACCTCGCGCGGGGCACGGTCGGAGCGGCCGAGGGCGCTGGGCCGTCGGCCGCGTGGGGGCGGGCAACGCCGCCCCAGAGGGCTACTTCGAGGAGGTTACTGGAGGCGTGGCTAGCTTGGGGCAGCCAGGTGGCCGCGATCAAGGAAGACGAGGACGCCGCCCTTCGGCGCGTCATGGCCGGTCGGGCCTCGCCATACTCAGGCGATGGGGCTACGGTTGCCCTGGGAAAGGATTCAAAGGGAAGGGAGATGCTACCAAAGGGCGCGATGTGCTCCGTCGACGTGGAGGAACTGGCTCTTCCGCCGCCAGGGACCATCCCTGCCAAGCTCGTGGACATCTGCCCGCTGGCCGCCGAGTACTTCTCCGACGTTGCGGGGAGGATGCTACGCGAGCCCAGCAAGGCCATGGGCGAGGAGCTGAAGGGCCAGAAGGTCTACCGAGATCCGTCTCTCCGCTCGAGGGCGTCGCGTCTCCGCCTAGCCGAGAGGCTTTGGGATACGGGGGTGCTCGGGGCCACCGACGAGATGGTCGAGGGGGTCTCGCTCTTCGGAGTCATCAAGAAGTACCTGCAGGAGGAGGGGGGGGGGCCCTCAGCCCCGCCAGGCGCCAGGCGCGCGCCATCTGGGACCAGAGGCGGGCCAACCTCCGCTGGCAGAGGCCCCCGCACGTGCCCCTCGGCAGCCCCGCGACCTTCGCCCACGTGGACCTCTCCAACCTGGGCGAGAAGGACGTGGTCTACACTGGCGTGGGCGACATCCCGGACATGTTCAATCGTTTGGAGACGCCGCCCGATGTCTGGCCCTACTTTGTCTTGGAGGAGGTGCCAGTCCACGAGTTCGTCGAGTGCATGAGGACCAAAGGGCGGGACTGCGTCATCCCCGATGGCGGGCCCTTCCTGGCGTTGAAGGCCCTAGTCATGGGCTGGTCGTGGGCCCCGTTCTTGGCCCACTCTACGCTCCAGGCCTGCATGGCGCGCGGGCTCGGGGAGGGCTCCGTCGGCGCGCGTCTGGTCTACGGGGCTCCGACGCCTCAACTGACCGGGCCCGAGGGGTTCGAGTCGGTGAATTGGGCATACATGGACGACTACGGGGCCATGGCCACGTCCGCCAGCGCGCAGCAGCCGGTGAGCGAGGTCGTGAGCGGACTGACGGCCCGAGTCAAGCACTACTTGAGGCAGGTCGGGCTCCCCGTCCACAAGGAGACCGAGGGCGAGGGGCTCGAGTCGCTGGGGGCGGTCATCCGAGGCCGACCCTACTCCGTCTCGGCAGAGACCGACCGCGCATGCGGCCTGGCTCTGGTGACGCTGCGGCTGGTAGAGCGGACGTACTGGACCGCGGAGTTCCTCGAGCGTGTCGTGGGGTTGTGGGCGTGGGCGGCCATCTTCCAGCGTACGGGCCTTGCCATCTTCGACCAGGTGTACCACGAGATGAGACGTCCCGAGACCGCCAAGACGCCCTTCCGACTGACGGACGCGGCGAGGTGGGAGCTGACTACGATGGCGTACTGCGCACCCCTCTTACGTACAGATCTCGAAGCTCCGTGGCTCACGCAGGTGTTCATGACGGACTCCAGCGACACGGGCTACGGAGTGGCGGTCACCGACGCATCGCTGGAGGAGATCAGGAAGGACGCCCGTTACAGCGAGATGAGGGGATGGACGATCGCCACCGAGGATATCTACACAGCCCAGGAGGAGGACGCCTGGGTCCCCCACGCTGGGGGGTGTGCCTACGACGTCGACGAGCTTATCGAGGCCTCGACTGCACCGCCGCCGCGGGTAAGTCGGAGGGTCTACCGGGTGCTGTACCTCTTCGCGGGCAGGCGCCGGGAGGGGGACCTGGAGGAGGCCATCCATTCGCGGGCGGAGCTCGACGGCTACGAGGTCGAGGTCCGGTCCATCGACGCGGCGATCAACCCGAAGCACGACCTTACCAACGACGACTTCGTCAGCCTGATCCTGAGCCTGGCGCGCGACGGGTACTTCCACGCAGTGATCGCCTCGCCTCCACGCTCAACTTGGAGTCGGGCTCGCTTCCTGGGGAATGGGCCCAGGCCCTTACGGACGCGCCTCGAGCCTTGGGGGCGGAGCGACATGTCATTCACAGCATTCGAGCGCCTCCGCCTGGACCTAGGGTCGCGCCTTTTGCTGACGGCCATGCAGGCGGTCCGCGAGGTATGTCGAGCTGGAGGCCTGGGCTTGATGGAGCACCCTGCGGACCCAGAGGAGGACCCATACCCGTCAATCTGGAACCTACCCGAGATGGCAGGCCTCCTCGAGGAGACGGGCGGGAGGATCAATCGGATCGACCAGTGCCGCTACGGAGCCCCATCGATGAAACCGACCATGATTGGCATCTTCGGGTTCTACGACGACGCACTGGACCTCGCCGCGGACCGTCTCCGCTTGAGTTGCAACCACCGAGGGAGGCATCAGACAGTACTCAAGGGACGGGCGGAGCGAGGCCGTCCCGATTTCTGCACCGCCTTCGCCCAGGCGTACCAGCCGCCGCTGTGCGCCGCGCTGGCGGAGGTGATCATCGAGGCTTTCGCTCGCATGACGAAGGAGATGAGTGGCCCCGATCCAACGGGCTCGCGCGTGTCTCCATCCACTTCGTCCTTCGGCCCGCCGAGGTCGGGAAGGGCGAGGATCGAGGTGGGGCGGGGCGATCGAGTCAGAGCCCCCCCGCTGTCCCCCGCTTGGATGCCGATCGCGAGATGGCGGCCGCTCTACTTCGGGAGGTGGAGGATCACGGAGCACACGAATATCAACGAGACGCGGGCCGTGGTGGGCCTGTTGCGACACCTGGCCAGATCATCGCGGATGTGGAGGCGGAAGGCCCTGATCCTCACAGACAGCATGGTGGCTCTGGGGGCCCTGGGCAAGGGCCGCTCGAGTTCACCGGCCCTGCTGCGCCTATGCCGCCAGGCGGCGGCGATCACCATGAGCTTCGCGATTCAGGGGTACTACCGCTACGTCCCGTCGGAGCTGAACGTCGCCGACGGCCTCTCTCGGGGGGGCTTCCTCGGCGCGGCGCCCGAGACGGTAGCAGCTCACAGCGACCGACACCCCGCTCCAACGGACAGCCGAGGTCACGATCTACGCGACCTGGGCCGCGCCTGTACGGGATACGCTGGCGGGTAGCCGCCATGGCATTGGAGGCAGTCCACCCTGTTGGAGCGGTTCGCCCGAAGCCACCCAGGGCGGGAGAGATCCCCCTGCAGAAGCGAGGGCCACGGGCGTGGGGGAACTACGAGAAGGAGCCGCACCTGGGCATCAGCGAGGGCGGCTTCACAAGGCTGCTCACCCACTCCGTGGCGGACGTCACCGCGGCGCAGTGGGCCCCGAAGGTTCGAGATTTTCTCAGCCACTGTGTCGACAAGGGTTGGGAGCTGCGGTCCGCGAACGCCGTGGACCACGCCCTGGCCGACTACATGGACATGAAGTGCTACAAGGACCGGCTCCGTCCTACGTGGGGGTCGATCGTCTTGTTCGGGCTGCTGGTGATTTGGCCTGAGCTGAGGAACCAGCTTCCCCTGGCCTTGCGAAGCCTGAAGAGCTGGCAGAGGCTGGTTATCTCTGTGGAGGGGGGTCCTCTGCCGGAGGAAGCTGTCTTCGCCATCGCCATCTACTTCTTCGAGGCGGGGCTCCTGGATGAAGCCATCTGGACCCTGGTGCAGTGCGACGTCTACGGGCGGGGGCAGGACATGGAGATGCTACGAGAGGCCGACATCATCTGGGATGGCCGATGCGCGGGCCTCCTGTTTGGCATCTCGGCCCGAGGCGAGGAGGGCAAGACGGGCAGCAACCGAGGGGTCGTCATCCGCCGCGGCACGGTCGCGAGCCTCATCCTGGCCCTGAAGGACGTCAAGAAGAATGTTACGGGGCCCATCTTCGGCCCCAAGCAGGCAGGCTTCCGCAAAGAGTGGCACCGCGCATGTCGCTCGCTTGGGATGCCATGGGCGCCGCCTCCGCACGGGCTCCGCCACTCGGGGCCCAGCGAGGACGTGGCCCGAGGACGGGCCAGCCTGGAGCAGGTGCGGAGGCGGGGCAGGTGGAAGGCATTGTCCAGCGTCCAACGCTACTCTAAGACGTTCGCCCTCACGCAGTTCCGTGCAAAAATGCCGAAGAAGGTGCTGGACGTGGGATCCCGTGCGACCTCCGACCTGGCCGCCGAGATACTCCGTGCGATGGAGTCCCGCACCAACTACAGCAAGCAACAGCAGCAGCTGGTCGACGGCATCAGGACGAATCTGAAGACGAAGAAGGTGAAAGATGTCGCCGCAGAGCTCCTGATGCTGGGACTCACCACCAACAAGAGGTCCACCACCAACAAGAGGTCCACCACCAACAAGAGGTCCACCAAGGGTGACACAAGCTGCCCAGAGTCCGACGACCTCTACTCCGACGAGACGTGGGGAGAGGGCACTGGATGGTGGACAGAGTGAGGCGACAGGCCAAATGGGGGCGCCCCATGGGGGCGGCTAGGGGCGCCATACGAGGGCCCCCTAGAGGTGGTGGCCTACGGGCGCGACCACCACCCCACGGTGAGCTTGGTCGGTCGCATGAGTTTCGTCGTTGTGGCCCCCGCCCGCCCGCCCTGGCCACAACATGTAGTTTTTGTCGGCTACGCCAGGCACATCAAATGCGGGAGTGGGACTGAGAATCTTCTGATGCCGATCGCAACTCGAGTTTTTGTTGGTTGTGATTTGGTTGAGGTTATATGGATCTCTATCGGCCTCCCGATGAATGATTATATATATATATATATATATATATATCTTTGGCCCGTCTGGGCCCTCGTGCAGTGTGTGGTTGAAACAGTACCTCCTCATAGGCCGCTTCGCGGCGTTGCTGCACGTCCCGCTGTCAGAGACTGCGTATCCTGTCAGCTTCGCTGGCCCCCCCGCCTGCCCCCTGAGACGTAGCGATAATGAACGTTTTCCTAACTTAATTGATCGCGTCTCGGGGTGGTGTGGTGGGGATGGGCCGTGTAAGATAGTAGTGCAGGTTCTATCCCTCGTCCGTCCTGCCCTGCTGGTCTTTCGTGTCCGCTCAAGCTTCCCTCCCTGTTTGAACGCTTTGCCCGGCCCTGCTCTCACGACACGTGGGGCTGAGAATCTTCTGATGCCGATCGCAACTCGAGTTTCTGTTGGTTGTGATTTGGTTGAGGTTATATGGATCTCAATCGGCTTCCCGATGAATGATTATATATATATATATATATATATATATATATATATGGCCCGTCTGGGTCCTCGTGCAGTGTGTGGTTGAAACAGTACCTCCTCATAGGCCGCTTCGCGGCGTTGCTGCACGTCCCGCTGTCAGAGACTGCGTATCCTGTCAGCTTCGCTGGCCCCCCCGCCTGCCCCCTGAGACGTAGCGATAATCATTGTGTTTTACTGTTGTTCCCCTCCTTCTCTCTCTCCCTTCTCTCTCTCTCTCTCTCTCTCTCTCTCTCTCTCTCTCTCTCTCTCTCTCTCTCTCTTTCTCCCTCGAGATGCGTCATCGTGATTTCTGTTTTATGCTCTAAGTCCGCAGGTGAGCGCTATCAGGCATGGGCGCTCCGTGGCCACACGCAGCTGGGACCACAAGTTACTTGTCTGGTCTGCAGCCAGCGCAGCTTTTACGATCACGAGCGCGCGTTCAGCGCGTCACGCCGCTGGTTCTGGCCCACCACGCTTCGGCGCGACACGCTGATCTCGCCCCGGACCCCGAGAGTCAGCGCAACGCCCCGAGCTTTTCGGACGTCCCGTGCGCTGGAGCAGAGCGACACGCATCAGCTTGCAAGGCATAGCGTGTCGCCAGGGCTGCCGCCGCGACACGCTGAACAAACGTTCCCGACCACAGTGCCCAACCCCCTCTCCCCCTCCCTGCCCCCCACCCCCCCTCTCCCTCTCCCCTCTCCCGCCGTCCGCCCTCTCCCGCCTCCCTCTCCCCCCGTCTCCCCTCCCCCCGTCTCCCTCTCCCGTCCTCTTCCCCCCCCCCCTCCCCCTCCCATCCCTCCCCATCCCTCCCTGCCCCCCCCCTCTCCCGCCGTCCGCCCTGTGCGCGGCGGGCGCTCGCAGCATGCGAGTATGCTTCGCCAGTGCTCATAGCTGGCCGCCAGTGTGCTCGCCATAGCTGGCTCCCCCGTTTGCTCGCGGAGGAGCAGGAGGAGGAACAGGAGGAGGAGGAGGAGGAGGAGGAGGAGGAGGAGGAGGAGGAGGAGGAGGAAAAGGAGGAGGAGGAGGAGGAGGAGGAGGAGGAGGAGGAGGAACGAGCGCTTCAAGCGCAGCAGCGCGCTGGCCTCGGCCGCCTGGAAGTGGCGGGCTTGTGCGGCGTGCGCCGCTGCCCTGATGCGCCCGCATCGAAACGCAGCGCGCGCTGTGCTCGGCACGCTCGAGCAGACACGCTGCGCGTTGGCTTGGCACGTGCTGGTCCGCGTTTTCGCGAGCGCATCGCGCCAGACTTGCGCTTTCAGTCTACAGTCGGGGCCCTGAAGAAGGAACCCCTTTCGTTGGGGAGGGGCTCCGCGTTGTTTCGCAGCTTGCCTCGGGTTTTCCTTAGCTTTTCGACACGAAACCGAAGGTTAGTTTATGGAAAAAAGTGGCCTCGTTCCTTATTTTGGGCTCCTTAGGTCAAGGCCCCGACTGTACGAGCTGAGCATCGTGCCAGCTCGTTGCGTATGGCGTTTTTGCGCATCGGGGCAGCGAAGACGGCAGGCAGCGTCGGCGGGTTCGCCCCCTGGTTCCTGCCCCTGTGGGCCCCGTGCCCGACCTCGAGGAGGAGGAGGAGGAGGAGGAGGAGGAGGGGAGGAGGAGGAGGAGGGAGGAGGAGGAGGAGGAGGAGGCGGAGGAGGGAGGAGGAGGAGGAGGAGGAGGAGGAGGGAGGAGGAGGAGGAGGAGGAGGAGGGAGGAGGAGGGAGGAGGAGGGAGAGGAGGAGGAGGAGGAGGAGGAGGAGGAGGAGGAGGAGGAGGGAGGAGGAGGGAGGAGGAGGAGGAGGAGGAGGAGGAGGAGGAGGAGGAGGAGGAGGAGGAGGAGGAAGGAGGAGGGAGGAAGGAGGAAGGAGGAGGAGGAGGAGGAGGAGGAGGAGGAGGAGGAGGAGGAGGAGGAGGGAGGAGGAGTCTGGAAGACACGGAGGCGACAAGAAAGCAAGCAAGCAAACACGGCGAAAGGCCTGGCCCTGCGCAGCTGCCGAGCACCGCGGGGGGCGGCCTTTTCCTCGCGGGCCGCGCGCCGAGGGAGGCAGGGGAACTCGGGGCGGGGCGGATGGGTGCGCCGGGAGTCAGCGCTCGCAGCGGCGGGAGGGAGAGGCGCCCCCACAGTCGAGGCCTAGAGGTTGACACCAGCACCAATCCTCCTCCTCCTCCTCCTCCTCCTCCTCCTCCTCCTCCTCCTCCTCCTCCTAAGACGATCCTGGCGTCGGTAATGGTGGTAATATTCTGGTTTCCAAGGTGGCCGAAACATTACCACCAACGCCGAAATCTAGGATCATCTTCCCCCTGTGGAGGAAACCTTTTGTGTTGGTGTTGGTGTCCCTGTCCAGGCCTCCAGCGCAGTGTCTGGGCCTCCCAAGTGGGGCCCGAGTGGATGGGATCGGAAGGTAGCGCCGCATCGCTGAAGCATCGACGATGCGGCTCAATGTGGGGCCCGATTTTCTCCACGCCGACTTCGAGGATGCGTCGCCGACCTCGCCGATGCATCGACGATGCAGCGTGTTCTTCCGACCCCATCTACTCCGACCCCATGCGGGGTGCCTCTACAGTGGCGCCATCAGAGCTCGTCATTGAAGGCCTTCGCGGCGGAGGTCTTCACGACGGACTTGGCGGCGAAGGGGGCGCGGGCGGACCAGGCGCCCAGAGGCAAACCGAGCTTTCTGCGGTGCGCGGTCCAGCCGAGAGGTGCGCCAGCATGGGTTCGGGGCCACAGTCCAGGGACCTCCAGCTGGGTCCGAGGCACGGAGCCCTCGGAGGGGCGCGATCAGCGCGACAGGCGTGCCGTGGCGGCGGAAGACCACTCGCGGACGTCGCCGCCTGGGGCAGCGCAGGCGGAGGGGATGGATGCCGGCGAGGGGGGGCGCGCAGGCATCCCGGCGTCGGTCGCAGCAGGGCCAGGAATGAGCAGCGGCAGGAGCGAGACTTGGGGACGGGGTGCACCAGAACGATGGGGCCGAGGGCGGCGGTCGGGATTTGTTTTGTGATGGCGCGTTGTTTTTGGCAGCGTCCGATGACAGCCCAGACGTTTGTGGCCCGTCGTGGAGCTCATGGGGGACGTCCGCGTGCTGTGCATAAGCATACGGCAGGTTCGTGTCGTGTCGACTGGCGGCGACCCCGCCTCCTGCGTTCAACTTTGAACGCCGCAGGTGATCGAGAATCGGTCGATGTTGAACGACCTGACGTTGCGGAACCAGCCAAACGTTCAAGGTCGAACGATCCCCGCGATGTCACACACCTACGCCATAGATGGCACGACGCGACCGTGCCGTATCGGAACATCCTGAGTACGGAGGTCGTCCGTGTGCCCGGCGAGAGCATGTCTGTAAATTATGGGGCCCTTTCGGGCGCCACGGAGGACGTCCGTGTGGTTTGCAGAAGCAGATCGGAACATTATGAGGACATTTTGGGCGCCACGGTAGACGTTAGTGTTCCGTACAAGCGCAGATCATATCCGAGCATCCTGAAGCCACTTTAGGCGCCATGGAGGGCGTCCGTTTGCCGTGCAGAAGCATATCGGAACATCTTGAGGACACTTTGGGCGCCAGGGAGGACGCCCATGTGCCGTGCAGAAGCGTACCGGAGCATCCTGAGGCCACCTCGGGCGCCATGGAGGACGTCCGTGCGCCGTGCAAAAGCATACGGGAACATCCTGACGCTACTTTGGGCGCCACGGAGGAATTTCGTGCGCCCTGCAGCTGCGGAGGCATATAGGAACATCCTGAGGATACTTCCGGCGCCACGGAGGACGTCCGTGTGCGTTGCAGAATCAGATCGGATGATCATGAGGACACTTTGGGCGCCACGGAAGACTTCAGTATGTCGTGCAGAGCATACCAGAGCATCTTGAGGCCACCTTGGGCGCCACGGAAGACATCCGTTTTCCATGCAAACGCATATCCGAGCATCCTGCGGCCACTTTGGGCGCCACACAGGACGTCCGTGTGCCGTGCAGCAACATATTAGAACATCTTGACGACACCTCGGGCGCCACTGATGACGTCCGCGTGCCGTGCAGAAACCAATTGAAACATCTTGCTGCCACCTAGGGCGCCACGGCGGGCCCCCATGCGCTTTGCAGAAGCAGATCCGCAGATCCTGAGGCCACGTTGGGCGCCACGGAGGACGCCCGTGTGAGGTGCAGAAGCATATCGGAACATCCTGGGCCCACCCTGGGCGCCACGGAGGACGTCCGTGTTCCGTGCCGACGCATATCGGAACAATTTGCGGCAACCTTGGGCGCCATGGAGGACGGCTTTGTGCCGCGCCGAAGCATATTCGAACATCTTGGGCGCCAGGGAGGACGCCCATGCGCCGTGCAGAAGCGTACCGGAGCATCCTGAGGCCACCCCGGGCGCCATGGAGGACGTCCGTGTGCCGTGCAGAAGCACATCGGAACATCTTGAGGACACCTTGGGCGCCACGGAGGACGTCCGTGTGCCGCGCAGATGCATATTGGAACATCCTGAGGCCACCCTGGGCGCCATAGAGGACGTCTGTGTGACCACCGCGAGGGTGCGAAGTTAGTCGCGCTTCGCGGTCTGGGCGATTTCAGAGCGAGGCGCAAGTCCCCCATATTGTTCCAAGGGGGACAGCTCGAAAGCACAGTCCGTCACTCATGAAGATTAGTGCGAGCGTTCTCCCTCCCACCTCCGCGACCGCAGTTGTTTGGGTTCAAACAAGGTGCGGCCCGTGCGCGGGCGCGCGATCCGCGCCTGCGCGCGGGCGATTCTTCCGCCTGCGGGCGAGACCCCCTCAGGGGGGAGGCCCGCTGCCGCGCGGCTCTCGCGGCTCAGCAGGAGGAGCCGTGGATCCCTGTCCCCTGTCGGGGGCCCGAGCCGCGGCAGGCGGAGAGGCTTGGGCCATGGCGCCCAAGAAGCGGCCTGCGGCTGCAGCGCGGCGTGGCTCGGCCGCGCTGCGCCGCCCAGCCTCGCTGGCGCCGAGGGCGGTGCGAGGCAAGCGCCAGCCCGACGGCGCGCGCGGAGGCCGAGGCCGCTCCTGCGGCCACCCGCCACCGCGCCCCGACGGCGGCGTCACCAAGCCGAAAGGCGGCAGGGGCGGAGGGGGCCGCGGAGGCAGCCGAGGCGGACGGCGGGGTTCAGCCTCAGGGCTCCGCCAGTCCGCGCTGCGGCGCCCCCGCTCGGGTGGACGTGGGTCGCGCAAGGGCGAGCGCCTCGCACTTGGCGACCGAACGGCCGTTGGCCTTGATGACGACGACGACATCGCAGCCGACTCACGTCACGAAGCGGGCCGCCCAGCTGGTGAGTGGTACCAGGGCGAGACCTGGCCGACGGCTGCCACGTCGGGCCCGAGGAAGGGCCAGCCGCCGATCATCGAGGTCGAGATGGACGGGCTGGCGACGTTCAAGGTGCTCGGACAGGCACCGCAGGACGACGGCACGGTTCCCGACCCGATGCACGGCGAGCCCCCGCCTCTGTGGGAGGCCGCCTACACGGGCGCGGAGAAGCCCGCCCAGCGGAGGGAGCTCGCCGTGGCGTTCGACGATACGGTGAGGACTCCAGTGCTGCACTTCTGCTCGGTGGAGGTTCATGCCGACGAGTGCCGCCTGGGCGAGGACCTGGTCGACGCGCAGGTGCTGCACGTGGGTCGCTGGCGCTGCGCCGCGCCGCCGCTCCGCGGCTACGCAGGCGAGGAGCTCACGCGCGACCAGGAGGACCGGGCCATCGCGGACGCCAGGCGCGTGCAGGGCAGGCCAGCGAAGCGGAGCTCGCCCCCTGGGCCACCCCCTGGTCATCGGGGAGAGCGCGGGACGGGCGCCGACGGCTCCAAGTCGGACGCCCGCCGCGAGGGGCCTGGAGGTGGCGCGTCGGCTCACGCCCGCGATCGAGGGGTGAGCGCGCGGCTGGGTGAGCTGCGCGAGCGTGCTGCCCAGCGCGGCCGCCCCGCAGGCAGGAGCGGGGGGCTGCGGTCTGCGCCGGCGAGGATCCGCTCCAACAGTCCCGAGGACGAGGGGGGGCGAGGAGCCCTGGTCGAGGCAAAGAGCGCTGAGAGGAGCCACTCGCCTCGCTGGGAGAAGGCCCGCGACGGAGCGCCCAGCGCACCTGCCGAGGGCCGCGCCAGCCTCAGCAGCAAGATCCTGGACAAGGCCAAGTCGAGAGGCACCAGCTCTCAGCGCGGCAGCTCTGCAGGCGGAGGTGGAAGCTCTCGCGGCTCGCCCCCACGCAAGGCGAAGCGCGAGAAGCAGAAGCGCCGCGAGGAGTCTGACGGCAGTGCGTCGAGCGAGGGGTCGTCGTCGAAGCGTTTTCACGACGCCCGCCTCTCCGCGCGCGACAAGGCCAAGCGCCTTGTGGAGAGGAAGCCGGGCGTTATCACGGAGCGCGCCTTGACGAAGATGCGCAGCTACCTCGTCAGCAAGGGGCGCGCGGTCGTGGACGACGCGGCGCCGCGCGTGCTGAACTACTTCACCAGCGTGTACCTGCCGAGCTGCCAGGGCAGGCTTCGCGCTCGCAGCGAGCTCGAGATGCGCACACTGGCAACAGCGGTCGACGCAGTTCTCGAAGCCGATCTGGGGACTGCCACGGACGCGCTGATCCAGCAGTAAAAGTCCATCGAGCAGCTCCGCGCCGACGGGGGCACGTGGAAGGCGGCTCGGCATGCCTCGGTGGTCGGCGACGGTCGCGTCAGCATCACGGACGATCGCGAGCGCGAAGCCTTCCTCAGGAACGAGAAGAGGGACATGCACTACCGCAAGCTGGAGGGCCAGGTCGGGTCGAACCGTGGCCAGCATTGGCAAACACCCGCGGGGGGGCCGGCAGTGATCGGAGTGCCCCCGCGGTCAGGGTCGGAAGGCCCGGGAGGAAGCCGCGGTGTCGAGCTGGGGCCAGCGCGGGGAGTCGGCTCTCGAGAGCGCAGTCCCGCAGGGCGTGTCACACTGACGCCAGCGAGAGACGCGACCTCGGCCGACCGCAGTCCCTCGGGCGACAACCGTGGAGGAGACAGGGTTCGCGTCTCGGAGTCCCCGCCGAGGAGGAAGCTGTACAACCCTGCGAGCCCTGCGGCCCACGTCGGATCGGACGGGGAGGATTTGTCTCAGGAGGGCGATCGCGATCGCGCACCCCGCGGCGGCGCACGGCAGGCGCGGACCCCCTCACCGCCGCCGAAGGCGAGGCCCAAGGGCAGAGGCAAGGGCAAGCCGAATGCCAAGGGCAGATCCAGTGGGAAAGGCAGGGGCTCGGGGCCAGGCAAGGGCAAGGAAGCGAGGAAGGGCCCCCCTCAGTATTGGCTCGCCCTTCGCCTGGCCAGCAAGAAGAAGGGCCGCTGAGGGCCCCCCCCTGCCGCCTCGCTCGCACCCATCAAGGCGACGCGAGAGGCGGCGGAGACGGACCAAGCTCGGGCGCCTGGCTGCTCCACGCCAGCAGGCCCAGCGCGGTGGCCAGGCGTGCCCTGGGCTTGAGGCCCTTCGAGGGCTGATCGATCCAGCCGAGCTGTCGGGCCTGGGGCTGCCAGCCATTGGCCCCCTCCTCGCCCGCTGCCCCCCCCTCAGGGCGTCACCGGGGGTCGGTTGCAGCGCGGCAGCCTCGCACGGCCGCGGCTCCATGCCGATGGCTGTCGGGGGAGAGAGCGGGTGGAGCGAGGAGCACGGGCAGAGTGCAGCCTGCAGGCAGCTCGAGCGTGAGGGAGGGAGACGACGTGGGCCGCCGCCGAGCCCACCCTGTCCCTGACGGGCTTGAGGTCTGGCTCGAGCTGGTCATGCGAGCGCTCAACGCCATGTGGTCGGCACGGCGCTCTTGCTGGCCAGGCGACGCATCCAGCGGAGTCAAGAGGAAAGGCGCGAAGCCGAGTGGCACCCAGGTCCAAATGTTCTGGAACCTGGAGAGGACAGTCGAGTCTTTCCTGGCAGCAGGCCCGGAGTTGCCAGAGCAGACCGCCGCCACTTTCCTGACGTCCAGGCAGGTCACCTACACCGGAGAGGTCGTCAGGAAGGCAGAGGACCTCTCATGGTCCCGAGTGCTGCCGAGCTTGCCGCCGCTTGTGCGATGTGCATCGCTGGGCGTCATGTGCCTGTGCGACACCAGGATGCAGGAGTGGTTCAGTCGCCCCGAGCTCACGTTGGTGCCGCTGGAGTCAGTCAGCGAGAGACCACGCCCAGGCCGGGTGATGTGCGAGCCGCCGTCGCGCATTCCCCTAGGGAGAGGTCTTCTCGAACGTGGGCTGGTGGTGCCGCTTCGAGAGCAGGACCTCATCGCAGTGGCGGGGCAGCCCCTTCTGAACGGGCTTTTCGGGGTCCCGAAGGGAGAGCCCTCGCCGAATGGTGACCCTGGGACCTTGAGGCTCATCATGAACTTGACGGCGACCAACTCCTTCACGGTCGACTTCGCGGGGGACATTGCGGCGCTTCCCTACTTCGCACAGTGGCGCTCGCTCATCATCGGCCCAGGTGAGGAGCTCACGTGGTCTTTCGACGACCTCAAGGGCGCCTTCTACCTGTTCAGGCTCCCAAAGTGCTGGGCGCCGCTGTTCGCGTTCGACGTCAAGTTCGCGCCTCAGGAGCTCGGGCTGCAGGGGCACTGGCCGAGCAGCGAACCCCGCTGGGTGGTCACGATGCCCATGGGGTACAAGAGCGCGATGGGGCTCGTCCAGTACCTGCACCGCCGCATGCTGGTGCAGGGCCTGCAGTCCCCCCTCGGCCATCCGCAGCCGAGGGAGATCCGCAAGGACCGCGGAGTGCCAGCCTTGCGAGTTGGGGGAGGCATGCGCGATGTCTGGCAGGTGTATTGCGACGACGCCGACTACGCGGAGAAGGTCGAGCGGCGCGCGTGCGAGCCCCACTCCGCCGAGGGGGGTCAAGTTGAGGAGAGCGGTGACGATGGGCGCTTCGCCCAGGCGGCTCGCGCCAAACACCGCGCCCTCGATGCCCCTCTCAGCGAGAAGAACGGCAGAGTCAGCCACTGCCAGCGCCTGGGCGCCTGTGTTGATGGCCGTGACGGGAGAGTCGTTGTCCCCGCGGCTAGAGCAGGGCTGGCGGTGCAGCTGACGCTGCACCTTCTGTGCTCCAAGGTCAGCAGGAAGGACGCGCAGGTGGTGGCAGGGCACTGGTGCCACCTCGACTGCTTCCGTCGGGAGTGCCCCTGCGTCTTCACGCGCGTCTGGAAGCTGATCAACGCCTGGACGGGGCCGCCTCGGCAGCATCTGTCTCCAGCTGTGAGCGCGGAGTTCTTCCTGGCGCTCTGCCTCCTCCCGTTGCATCAGTTCGATCTGAGATGCCCAGTCTCCCCGATGGTCACCTGCAGTGGCGCCTCGGAGACCGGTGGGGGCGCGTGCTGGAGCAACAAGCTTCGCCCGTCAGCCGTCGCCCCGTCGCTGGCCGACCTCTGCCAGGGTCGCGCAGCCGGGAGAGACGAGGTCGGACTGGTGGAGCTCTTCAGCGGCATCGAGGGCGGCAGGATGGCCTTCGACCGCCTGGGGATTGAGGTCGCCGCCCACGCCACCGCAGAGCTGCTGCCCGAGGCTCGGCGCGTCAGCCATCAGCAGTGGCCGTCAGGGCGTGATGTCGAAGGCGCCCCACTTGAGCGTCGTGTTCGTGCTAGGGGGATCCCCGTGCCAGGGAGTCGCTCGCATCAGCGCCTTTGGGCAGGGTTGGGCCGAGGACCGCGCGCGACTGGTGCAAGAGCTACCTCGCGTAGCAGGCCTTGTGCGAGCCGCCCTACGCGATGTCCAGGTATTCACCCTGGGCGAGAACGTCAGCTCGATGACGGCCGCCGACAGGGGAAGATTCAGCCAGGTCATGGGAGTCGTGCCCGTGGAGCTCTGTGCCAGCGGGCGCAGTCCGGTCAAGCGGCCGAGGCTCTACTGGGTCGACTGGCCGCTCGGGCCCGAGACCTCAGAGTTCCAGCGCCAGCAGAAGGACGAGGTCATCGAGGCAGTGCTCACTGGCAGCTGGCCGAGTTGGGCAGAGCAGCTCGAGCAGGGTGCGCGCCGTCCGCGGGGAGAGAAGGGAGCTTGGGCCACTTTTGTGCGCTCCATCCCTCGCGAGAGGCCGCCACCTTCCCCAGCGGGGCTGGGGGTGACCGACCAGGCTGCGCGCGAGCGCTGGGCGGCGGACAAGTACCGTTACCCGCCGTGCCAGTACCGCAGGGACAACCTGGTCGAGGCATCCGCCGCTTCGGCGAGGACTTGGGAGTCGGGCGCCAAGCGCAAGCTCCGACCTCTGACCAGCAGAGAGCGGGCTGTGCGCCTCGGGTTTCCCTGGAACCATTGCTGCTGGGCCGTGCCCAAGTCCGAGTCGGGGACGATCGACGAGGACGTCAAGTGCTCGCTGCTGGGTAACTCCTTCTCAGCCCCGGTGGTAGCCTTCCTGCTTGGAAGAGGTTTGGTGGCCGCTGGAGTCTTGAGCGAGCCGCCGACTGTCGCCGAGTGCTGGGGAGCCCCAGGTGGGGAGGGAAGCCTCTACCTGGAGTTGCTGCTGGCCATCTTCAAGGGCAGCGACGTGCGCGCCGCGACGGGAGGCCTTTGGAAGTCTGCGGGTTGGCCAAGGAGAGGCGTTGATGCAGACCGCTGGCTCTTGCGCACGTGCCTGAGCTTCAAGCAGGGAGGCGCGCACATCAACGTCTTGGAGCTGCAAGCCCTCTTGACCGCCGTGTCTTGGCGCATGAGGAGCCGTGCGAACATGCGCACGAGGTTTATTCATTTCTGTGACTTTCAGGTTTCCATAGCAGTGGCCTGCAAGGGTAGGTCGCAGTCCCGCCAGCTTCAGTCCATCCTCATGCGCTTGAACGCGCTCCTGCTAGCCACGTCCAGCCACCCATTTTGGGTCTTTGTTCGGTCGGAGCTCAATCCGGCCGACGCTCCGAACAGATGGCGGCAGCCATAGTGCTCAGTGGCGGGACGAGGCAGCAGAGAAGGGATGAGCGAAGCAGAGCGGGAACCTTGACATCATTGCAGCTCCAACCGCGCACTGTCCAGCGGTATCTGGAGGCCGCACATATATTTTTCCAGTGGCTCCTGCGCCTTGGCGATCCCTTGCCTGTCTCGATCCCAGCCGCCGACGAGATTCTTGGGGAGTATCTCGAGGATTGTTGGCCGGCTGGAGAATCCAAAAGCTTGGTGGGAGACACGTTGTCGGGGCTCCAACATTTTGTTCCAAGTTCGCGCAGAGGTCTCAACGATTCTTGGAGACTGTTCGGCACCTGGTCTAAGACCGAAATCCCTTCACGTGCTCGGCCGCTATTGCCCGAGCAGGCGCTGGCGATGGCAGGCTTTGCACTAGAGGAAGGAGACAAAGCGACAGCTGCGGCAGTACTAGTGTGCTTCAACGGCATCCTTCGCCCCGTCGAGTGCATGCTGACAGCTGGGCAATGCACCTTTGACCTGGACCGTGGCGCGGTGCACCTCAACCTCGGTTTCACTAATGGGGGTAAGAGGTCAGGCACCGCCGAGCGCGTCACCATCGACGAGCTCGAGGCTGTTGTGCTCCTTGCCGAGCTCTTGCAAGGACGCCCAGCTGGCGCCCAGCTGTACCCCCGTGGCACGGGCGGCTTCCGCCGTGCCTTCAGGAGACTGGTCCAGTCCATTGGGGCCGACCCTGATAGGTACAAGTCGCACTCGCTGCGCCGGGGCGGGGCCACCCACCATTTCAAGATCCTGGGAAGTCTCTCCAAGACATGTATTCGCGGCCGTTGGAGGCACCAGCCCACGGCTCGCATTTACATCCAGGATGGCGCGGCCATGCTGGAGCGCCACGGCCTCAGCGCGAAGGAGCGACGGTTGATAGCCAGGGGAAAGTCTTTGCTACGCCGTCGTCTCTGATGCCCGTGCCCTGGGCCCTCGGACGCCCATCAGCTCCGCCAATTCAGTGCAGCGTGGGAGGTCACGCGCGCTGGGAGTGCATGCGTGGAGTGGGCGCGCGCCTGAGTGCTGCGGCTTGCCACCCTCGGCGCCCAGCGACCAGGCAGACCAAGCCGCCTCCTGCGTCCAACGCGATGCCCCCGACGGCCGTCGGAGGGAGGTGAGGGCGGTTCGCCTGGGCCATCTGGCGCCCTGCTCCTGAGGTAGCCCGCCGCATCACCACTAAGGTGCGGGCTGCCGCGGCCAAGAGAAAAGGAGCGCGGCCGCGGCAGCATCAGACGGGAGCGAGGAGAGGAGGAGTGAGGAGCACTAGTCCGTCATTCATGAAGATTAGTGCGAGTGCTCTCCCTCCCACCTCCGCGACCGCAGTTGTTTGGGCCACCGACCCCGCCCAGCAACACTGACGCCCTGAGAGTTTCTTAACCTGAATGCATCAAGGGCTCTCGCCCCCGCTGAGGGGAGAAGAGTGGGCGCGCGCCTGAGTGCTGCGGCTTGCCACCTTCGGCGCCCAGCGACCAGGCAGACCAAGCCACCTCCTGCTTCCAACGCGATGCCCCCGACGGCCGTCGGAGGGAGGTGAGGGCGGTTCGCCTGGGCCGTCTGGCGCCCTGCTCCTGAGGTCGCCCGCCGCATCACCACTAAGGTGCGGGCTGCCGCGGCCAAGAGAAAAGGAGCGCGGCCGCGGCAGCATCAGACGGGAGCGAGGAGAGGAGGAGTGAGGAGCACTAACGATAATCGCGCCTTGCGCCTCGCAGAGCGCGAAGCGCGACGAGCGCCACAGCGCTGTCGCGCTTCGCGCGCGCCTACATCATGTTTGTACCCACTTCTTCCGACCGGTGTGTGCACGAATCCACGCTGGTTTCAAAAGTGCGCCTTGCACAAACGTTCGTACCACGAGGCTGGTCTTGCGGACTGGGGGGTCGTATTCATGTACGTGGCTGGCCGCGTGCGTCTTTTGTGGGCTCCCCAAATGGGGGAGGAAGCAGCTGGGGGGGAGGAGGAGGAGGAGGAGAAGGACAAGGTACCGATACCGCTGCCCTTGACGCGTTTTCGCCCTGGCCTCCTGGGAGGCCCTCGTCGCCACGGCTGGACTCGCTCCAGAATTTTGGCCAGAGCGCACCCCGGGAGGGGTCCGGGGAGCTGCGGCAGCGGTGCCTATGGGTGCCCCAAGCTGGGGGATGCGAGGGCGACGAGGTGGGGCGGGTCAACATTACCAGCCTGGAGCATATCCCTACCCCTATGCTGGGCACCTCCTCATCACGATGCCAATCTTAAGGATTCCCTTATTTTTTGAGGGCGGATCCCTAAAGATTGTCATCGGATAGGGATACGTTCGAGGCTGGTAACAACAGGTTCGAAGACGGGCCGGACGACGAGCAGGATGATGCCGGGCCTAAGTCGAACCCGTCTCTCTACAGGAGGAAGATTCAAACATAGTCCCAAATTAGTACGGGGACCATTCTTTGAGCATTTTTTTTGCCATTTTGGGGCATGTTTTATGTTTCGTTGAAAATCCCCCTGTAGGGGGACACGCCCGACTTAATGCTGGGCTCAGGCTGCAGGCGCGCCGAGGCAGCCCGAAGTGTCTCCACGGGCGCGCTGTGGGCGGCCGGTGCTGCTCGGTTTGCCCGCTCGACCCCCCGAGGCTCCATCCGCGTGGCATCCGGGCGCCGCCTGCGGGCCAGGCGAGGTCGCGGGCGCCGTTGGCTTCTTGGGGGTAACCTCCTCCTCCTCCTCCTCCTCCTCCTCCCTCCTCCTCCTCCTCCTCCTCCTCCTCCTCCTCCTCCTCCTCCTCCTCCTCCTCCTCCTCCTCCTCCTCCTCCTCCTCCTCCTCCTCCTCCTCCTCCTCCCTCGCGCGCCGCAGCGCGTCTGCGGCGGCTTGGGCAGCGTCGGCAGGGCCGCGGCGGTGGCGACCGTTCCTGGCCCGTGCACCACTCGTCGAGGGGGGGGCAGGGGGGCAAGTCGAGGGGAGAAGCACACTGACCATGACCAGTATGTCACGACGTCGCGGGGACAAGTCGAGGGGGGACCAGGGGAACAAGTCGAGGGGAGAAACGTCGATGCCGATCTTGGTCACCGTCCGTATTGAACGCCGTCGACTCGCAGATCATCCTCGCGAAAATGGGCGACGCCAGCATGGACAATGGCCAAGATCGCGAGGATGATCTGCGAGTCGACGGCGTTCAATACGGACGGTGACCAAGATCGGCATCGACGTTTCTGCGTTCAGCCTTTGTCACGGTCCTCGTTTTATTGCCCTCCAATGATGAAGATGTGTCACAGTCTTAGTGGACAAGGGTAACGACTGGGATGAGATGCCGTATGCCTGCTGACCCCAGAGGGAGCTTGCGGATGTCCAAGGACATGACGTGGTGGGCCAACCAGAAGGAGCAGTGGAGGCTCGTCATGGACGTCTGGAGCATACCAGACCAGCTCGAATCGGCCCTGACGACTCCTCTCACACTGATCAACCGCATCTCGTCCATCTGCGTCCAGGCCGCACTGGTGCGGCAGAACAGCAGCAGCATGCTGCGGGCCATGGTGGCGCTCCACTGGGCTCGTTTCCTCGCGAAGAAAGCCCTGGGCTGGATGCAGGAGCGGCTGATACGCAGGGCCACCAGCGGCATTGTCATGCCTTCCGAGGACAAGTTTACGTGGCCTTACGCGCTCCAGGCCGAGAACATCCAGATGTACCAGAGTTTCGCCCGTGGGCCAAAGGAGGCCCTCTGCCTGGGCAGGTTCCTGCACGCTCTCAACAGGACCCGAACAATAGTCGGGTCGATCAGTGCACTCTCTGACCCGCTGCACTCGCTGGTGACGCACGGGGGCAGCATCGCCGAGTTCGCCAGCATGGGGCAGCTGATCCAGGAGGGCAGCGTCGACATCACGCAGGCGGAGACCCTGATGCACTATGCGACTGATACGGCCTCAGAGATGGAAGGCACTTATCAAGATGTCAGGTGCGCCCAGGACAAATTAGTGCCCCTTGCAAAAGCGTACGACTACATCAAGATACCTCCCAAGATTCCCTTGGACGTGGGGCTCGAGCCTGGGAAGCGTGCGGCGGGTCACTTCGTCTTCAAGGACGTTTGCTTCAGATATCCTGGCAAGAAGGCCGAGCTGCTCAAGGGCGTCTCTTTCGAGGTCAAGCCTGGCCAGACGGTGGGCATTACTGGGAGCTCGGGGTGCGGCAAGAGCACGTGCCTGCGCCTGGTGGAGCGCTTCTACGACGTCACGGGGGGGCAGATCTTGCTGGATGGCCGCGACGTCCGCGACTACAAGCCGCAGTGGCTGCGCTCGCAGATCGTCGCGGTGGCGCAGGAGCCCAAGCTGCTTCCCGTCGCGATCCGGGAAAATCTGGCCTTCGGCTGCGACCACGACCCCACGCTGGAGGAGATCGAGAGGGCCTGCCGTGCGGCGAACATCTGGGACGCCCTGCAGGACCCGGGCCGAATCCGGGTTCATCTGGCGGGGCAGCGCGCCAAATGAACCGGCCACATCCACATATGTATATATTTATACATATGTATATATGTGTATATATACACATATACATCCATCCATCCATCCATCCATCCATCCATCCATCCATCCATCCATCCATCCATCCATCCATCCATACATACATACATACATACATACATACATACATACATGTGTGTATACATATATATATATATATATATATATATTAATTTGGATCTGCACGTGCACGCGTATCTTCATCTGAACCCGCATCTACATTTCGCACCTGAACATACATCCACGGCTACGTCTTCGTCTACGTCTACAACTGGCTTTCCGCGTGCGTGCTCGTCCGCAGCTATATCTACAGCTGCAAAACATTAGCCATCGCGAGCCCCAAGCAGTAGGTTATTGCACTGTGAGTGTGTACGCTATGTGGTGTAAGCTATATGGTGCAAGCTTCGTGGTGCAGTATACGTGGTGCAAGCTAGAGGCAGCAACGAGGCGGCAACGGGCGGCACCGTGGCTGAACCTCGCCGGACACACCCAGCCGCAACGATGCGGCAACAGGCGGCAATGTGGCGGACCCTCGCCGCACCCGCCCAGCGCACGAGGCGGCAACGAGACGGCGACCAGGCGGCAAGGTGGACCCCCCCCACGGGACCCCATCAGTTCCTCGGGGAGGCAGGTCGGACCCCCTGAATGCAGGCGCCGTCTCGGGAGTCTTCGTCTCCAGGCACCTATATACATGGAGGAAGCCTCTGGCGAGAGCCGTGGCCGCCCCCTCGTGGCTGACGAGCGGGCCTGGACCTCGTCGGCACTTTTTTTGGGGGGGGCCGTCTTGGGGCCGCCCCTTGCGGGCATCCCGGAGCCCGCGTCGGTACTCTGCGGCCGTCTTGGCGGCTCGCTGGGGGGATGTCTTGAAGCACTCTGCCTGGGCAGTCTTCCGGCTCTCTCGGGCCGTCCTCGCCCCTTTGGAGTCCCGCTCGGCCCGTCTCGAGGCCGTCCTGGGCCATCGTGTGGTCATATCAGGGCTACCTGGGGCCTTTTCCAGTGGTCTTTGGATACTCCGAGACCCTTCTGGAGCTTCTAAGGCTGAAAAGCTTGGTAGCCTAAAAGCATCAGACCCCGAAGAAACGATACTACCGCGTCGACCCTAAACAATCAAACCAAGCAAACCCAATGTGTGGAACCCTATGTGTGAAAGGATTCGTTTGCGTTGTCGCTTGGCCTGGAGGGGAGGACCCCGGGGCAGGAAAGCGAAGACCGCTTTACTTTCCCGCCCATCGCCCGTCAGGGTCCGCCCTCCCCAGCCCGCCCGTTGGGGTTTGCCCGCCCGTCCCGTTTCTTGGGGCCTTTGCGGCCCTCTTGCATCCAGCTGCCTGCGGCAAACACCGCCACCGTGCCTGTGCAACGGCGTAGCAGGAAGGACGCTGACTGTAGGAAGAGCGCAGTTCTGACTAGTGGTCCGAACTACGACGAGTCGTGAACTCGACATCGCCTTCGTCCGCGCGGTAGGAGAGGTCGAGGTCACGCGCCGCGGCAGTTCAGCGAGCGGACTGAACTGGAGGTGATCGTGATCTCGACCTTGTCTTCGTGAGGAGGAGGAGGAGGAGGAGGAGGAGGAGGAGGAGGAAGAGGAGGCTGAGGAGGAGGAGGAGGAAGAAGCAGAAGAAGAAGAGGAGGAGGAGAAGGAGGAGGAGGAGGAGAGGGATAAAATGGAGACGAGGAGAGGAAGGCCACTTGGGACCCTATGGGGCCGTCCTGGGAGCCCTCTGAAGGCCTCTTGGGGGCCTCCTGGGTGGTCGTGAGCGCTTCGCCTCTTGGGGCCTCTTAGGCCGTCCTGGGGTGCTCTTCGCCCGCCTGACGCCTGCGGATCCGACTCGGGGGGGGCACTCTGGGCCGTCTTGGTGCCTTCTTGGAGCGCCGACGGGCCGCCCGGGGCACTAACTTCGGAGCCTCTTGGGCGACCTCGGGGCCTTCTTGGGGCCGGCTTGGGGCCCTCTCGGGGACGTCTTGAGCTGTCGCGGAGCTGTCTTAGGTGCCTCTTGGGCCCTCTCGGGCGGCCGCAAGGCCAACCGGGCGAGAATGCGAACATCCGCCAGCAGCCTGAGGAACATAGTTTTTTTGTGCTGTTTCTCGGACTCTCCTGGAGGGCCTCTTGGAGCCCTCTGGCCGTCTTGGATGCTTCTTGGGCTGTCTTGGGGCCGTCTTGGGAGCCTCTTGAGTGGTCTGAGGCCATCTTGGGCCGTCTTGGTGTCACCTTAGCCGTCTTGGTGTCACCTCAGCTGTCTTGGAAGCCGTGTTGGAGGCCATCCTGGCCTTCTCGAGGCCGAAACCGCCAGAGAGCAACAGGGGGGGGGGGGGGGCGGCTTTCAAGGCGGGCGCGCGGCGAGGGGGCGGGGGTCCGACGAAGGCCGTCCAGACAAACAGACGAGCGTGATGACGTCCTAGTGGGGCGAAGCTCTCTGGGGAGGGGCTCCCAGAGAAGGGTCGCAGGGTGGGGAACCGAGAGCGGTGAAGCAGCAAGCTCTTCACACCAGGGCTCCCAGGAGCGAAGGGTGCCACGAGCCATCTCGGGCAGGTTCCTGCACCGCTCTTTCCGGTTCCGTGCCCGCCCAGGTCTGGCACGCCTTCTCTTCGGGGGGTCGTAGAGGGAGGGTTTTGTCCCCAGGTGGGGCTGGGGAACGGGCCCAGCTGGATGCTGCCGTGCAACGCGTCTCCCTTCTTCCAGGTACCGTCTGGAGCGATTCTTCCTCCAAGCCCACCTCTGCCCCAACCCCACCTTTGTGCCCCCCCCCCAGGGGCCGTTCGGAGCGATTCTTCCTCCAAGCCCACCTCTGCCCCAACCCCACCTTTGTGCCCCCCCCACCTCTGCCCAAACCCTACCTTTGTGCCCCCCCCCCGATTTCTTCGCAAGGGCGAGGTACGAGTGATGACGTCCTGGTGGGGCGACGCTCTCCGGGGAGGGGCTCCCGGGGGAGGGGGGAAACGCGCGCCTCGGGGCCGGCGCCACACACGCCCGCCCTTCCCATCCATGACTGCCCAAGAGGCCCCCCCCCAACGACCAAGAGGTCCCCAAGGTGGCCCATGAGAGTTCGGGGGAGGAGGAGGAGGAGGAGGAGGAGGAGGAAGAGGAGGAAGAGGACCTCCTCATCCTCCCTTCTACCCCGTCCCACCAATGGTAGTGGCGGTGGAAAATTGGCCCATCAAGAGTGGATCCGAGGCGGCCCAAGGGCGCTCCAAGAGAGCCCAAGACCGGCCAAGAGCGTTCGAAGATGGCCTCAGATGGCCTCAAGACGGTCCAAGGGGGCCCAAGACGGCCCAAGAGGCCCTCAAGATGATCCCCCAGAGGGCCTCAAGAGGCCAAACACATTGCTTGTCCATCGGGCTTTTTTGACTGTCTATAGGCTTCTGCCCTTCTCGGGTTTCCGACGGCACAAGACGGCCCAAGAGGCCCGACAGATCACCCCAAGATGGCCCAGGAGGCCTCAAAGAGAGCCCCCCAAGACGGCCCATGAGAGCCCCAAGACGGCCAAAGAGGGCTGCAAGAGGGGCCCAGGGCCATGGGAGGCCCCCAAGAAAGCCGAACAGGGCCCCCCGAGAGGACCCCACGACGGCCCCTGGGACGGCGCAAGCGCCTCCCAAGAGGACCCCCCAGACGGCTTGAGGAGGCAATGAGTGTAGGTTTTCTGGTGGTATTTCGTTGTGTCTTAAGTTCTCGCTTTTTCGGGCCCGGATTGGCCGAAGACGGCAAGACTGCTCTGAGGGCTTCGGATATTGCCCCCGAAAAACCAGCCAGGAGGCTCCCAAGAGGGACCCTAGACGGCCCAAGGAGGGCCCCAGGACGGCCACGGACAGCCCCGAAGAGGGCTCAACACGGGCCCGAGAGGGCACCAAGAGGCTCCAAAGAGAGCCCCAGAATGCCGCAGTAGGCCGCCAAGGGGGCCGAAGAGGGCCCCAAGGAAGGTCCCAAGACAGGCCGAGTCCCCCAAGACGGCCCAAGGGGGCCCCAGAGCGGCCCAAGAGGGCCCCGAGACCCAAAAAGGCCCCCAGAAGACCCCCCCTCGGACGGCCCAACGACGGACGCAGCTTTGATGCCAAGGCTTCGCGGCAGGAAGGTCCTCTTTGCACGAGCCCGAGCCTTACGTCTTGCTGCCGGAGCCCAGACTTCGAGCCCGGAGGCTCATGCTTTACAGCCGAGGTTGATTGGAGAGGACACGCGAGAGGACACAAGACCCTTCCGAGGGCCGCATTGCCACAGGAGTGTAGAGAGCATGAGTCGCGAAACACATGACGCAAGGGTACCCTTGATTTGGCAGCGTCGACCTACTAGTCAGCCTCGACTGTAAGCCCAGCGCCCCTCCGCGAAGGACCCGCAGAAGTTCCCCAACGGCCTGGAGATCGGGGGCCGGCGCAGAAAGTGTCCACCGGCAGCGATCCAGGGGCAGTCATAGGCCCAGGTCGAGATGTGAGGGACGGGGGTCAGTGCGAACAGTCTTCTTCCCTCTTCTTTGTATTATTCTTCCCTCTGCTCCTCCTGCTTCTGCCGTTTTTAATGTTTTCTAATTTTCCCCAAGCAGCTTGCTGAACGGGGTGTTGTTGTGGTAGAAGCTGACTCCGGCCGAGGGAAAGGGGAGCAGAGACATCCTCAAACAGATCCATTGTTCTGGGCCGTTTCGCTTGAGACATCCTCACAACTCTCGTTTCTGAGTTGTCCGGGATTGGCCGTTTTGCTTGAGACATCATCGAACATCTGGGCTCCGAGACGCCGCGCGCGAGATGTTCTGGGCCGTTTTGCTTGAGACATTCTCGAAGCTCTACGCACCGAGATGCTGTGCGAGAGGTGTTCCGAGCCGTTTCGTTTGAGACATTCTCGCAATTCTAGGCTCCAGGACGCCGCGCGCGAAGTGGTCCGGGCCGTTTCGCTTGAGACATACTCAATTCCCCGAGATGCTCTGCGAGAGCATGTCTGGGCCGTTTCGCCTGAGAAATCCTCATATCTGAGCTCGGGACGCCGCGCGCGAGGTGGTTTGCCTGCTTCGCCTGAGGCATCCTCCAAATTTTGAGCCCCGAGATGCCGCGCGCGAGGTGGTCCGGCTCTCTTCGCCTGAGCCATTCTCGCAATTCTGGCCTCCGAGATGCCGCGCGCGAGGTGGTCTGGCTTATTTCGCCTGGAACATCCTCGCAACTCGGGATTCCGAGATGCCGCGTGCGTGGGGGTCTGGCCCGTTTCGCCTGAGACGTCCTCGCAATTCTGAGCTCCGAGCTGCCGCGCGCGAGGTGGTCTGGCGCGTTTCGCTTGAGAGATCTTCGCAACTCTGAGCTTCGAACTGCCGCGTGAGAGGTGGTCTGGCGTCTTTCGCCTGAGACATCCTCCCACCCCTCAGCTCCGAGATGCTGCGCGAGAGGGGGTTCAGCTGGTTTCGCCTGAAACATCCTTGCAACCTTGAATCTTGACAACATGTGCGCAAGGTGTGTGGCCCGTTTCGCTTGAGATATCCTTGCAATTCTGGGCTCCGAGATGCTGCAGGCGAGTTGGTCTGGCCCGTTTCGCCCGAGACATCCTCGAAACTTAAGGCTCCGAGAGGGAGGAGAAAGGAGGGAGGAGGGGTCAGACCCAAACGAACCATTTGATTACATTTCTGTTGTTGGATTGTGCTCTCGGAGGGGTCTGGGTCTGGACGCCGCCTGAAACATACATCCTCTGAACTCTGAGCGCCTGAGACATGCTCGCAACTCTGGGCTCTCAGACAGCGTGCGCGAGGTGGTCTGACGGTCTGGCGCGTCTCGCTTGGGACATCCTCGCAACTGGGCTCCGAGATGCCGCTGCAGAGATGGTCCGGCCCGCTTCGCTTGAGGCGCCCTCGAATACCTGGGCTCCGAGAGGGAGGGGGGAGCGACGAGGGGCGAGACCCAAACGAGCCGTTCGATTCCACTTCTGTTGTCGAACCTTGCTCTGAGGCAGAGGTCCCGGCGCCCCCCCCCCGGCCCGACGGGGGAGGTGTGGCGGGCGGCGACGGCGCGGCGCGAGCACGCGATTCCCTGGCAGACTGCGGGGGCTGGTCGGGGAGGGGCCGTGCTGGGGCAGGCCGCGGCGATGCCTCGACCAGAGCGCGGCGGGCAGGGGGGAGGCAGGATCGGGGAGGGGGAGAGGGGCAGAGCTCAGAGATGCTGCGCGCGAGGAAGCATGGAGGAGTGGGGCAGAGCCGGGCTCAGGCGTTGTCCCTGTCCGAGGGCGTCCCCGACGAGGGCGCCTCCTCGAAGCGGCAGCGAGAGTGCGAATGCATCCTTGGCATGGCGGAGACGAGGAGGGAAGAGGAGGAGAAGGAGGAGGACGAGGAGGAACAGGAGGAACAGGAGGAGCAGGAGGAGCAGGAGCAAGAGGAGAATAAGGATGGTGATGGTGATGATGATGATGCTGATGATGCTGATGATGATGATGACGATGATGATGGTGATGATGATGCTGATGATGATGATGATGATAACGATGATGATGATGACGATGATGATGATGATGATGATGATGATGATGATGATGATGTTGGTGATGATGATGGTGATGGTGATGGTGATGATGATGCTGCTGCTGCTGGGGATGATGAGGAGGAGAAGGATGAGGAGGAGAAGGAGGAATGCGACGAGGAGGAGGCGGAGGAGGAGGAATGCGAGGAGGAGCAGGAGGAGCAGGAGGAGGACGAGGACGAAACTGCGAACGAACGAACGAGGAGGAGGAGGAGGAGGAGGAGGAGGAATGCAAGGAGGAGGAATGGGGGGAGGAGCATCCAGAGGAGGAGGCGGAGGAGGGAAAGGAAGAGGTTGAGGAGGAGGAGGAGGAGGAGGAGGAGGAAGAGGACCAGTGTAAGTTCAAGCGTCCTCAGCAATGTTGGAATAAAACCTCCCTCCGAGCTCCTTTTTTCATAGGCCCCTGCACAAGGTTCAAATTCGTCGAGGGAACTGCCTCGTTGGAAGACAACCGTTTGAAGACCCTGAAGCATACCAAAACATTGTTCTCGGGATTCCAACGCCACGGATCACCTTGACTGTTGCGTCTTGACGACCCTCAACCGTGCTTGAACGCCATTCATGGGACTTCAGCACAGCGAATCAGCAGCATTGTTGCGCCCGCATAATCCTGAATCTTTTCAAAACACCGTTTCTGGTACATTGGTGATGGGAACTCGTGAAACCCTTGCAAACGTTGCAACCGAATGCGCGCGGCGCGAAGGCGAGAGCCACATTTCGAAAGGAAGCTGCTCTCAATCAGTGAAGCTCGTCCCTTCGATACATATATATATATATATATTAAAAACGGATGCGCGCCACGTTCAGGCGAGAGCCACATTTTGAACATGGGTCGTCATCAATCCGCGAGAGCCTTGCAAACGTTTCAAACGAATGTGCGCCGCACTAAGGCGAGAGCCACATGTTGAATACCACCCGGCCTCAATCAGCGAAACTCTTGCAAATTCTGAAAAGAAGTGTGCGCCGCGCTCATGCGAGAGCCACATGTTGAAAACGGCCCGCCCTCAATATGTGAAATGCTTGCCAACTTTGAGGCTTCAGAGCCATACGTGGTGAGGAAATCTGAGGCGAAACGCCTGGCCCGACCTAAAGACCGGCCTTTTGGGCGCGAGAGGGATGGAAAGAGAGAGAGAGAGAGAGAGAGGAAGAGGAAGGAAAGGAGCAGGAGGAGGAGGAGGAGGAGGAACACTGCGAAGCGGAGGGTGACGAGGAGCACGTAGAGGAATGCCAGGAACCCAAGGAGGAACGCGGCGAGCAGGAGGAGGAGGAGGAGCAGGAAGATAAGTACAAGGAGGAGGCCGATGACGAGGTAGAGGATGAAGAGGAGGAGGAGGAGAAACGACGACGACGACGAACACGACGAGGAATCGCGCCAACGGCACGAGGATAATTTCGTATGGGGGATGCGGGGGAAAAGGAGAAACGATATGATGAGATACAGAAAGAGGAGGAGAAGGAGGAGAAGGAGGAGGAGGAAAAAGAGGAGGAGGAAGAGGAGGAGGAGGAGGAGGAGGAGGAAGGGGGACAGGGGAAGGAGGAGGAGGAGGAAGAGGAGGAAGAGGAGGAGAAGGAGGATAGGAGGAAATAGGAGGAGGAGAGGAGGAGGAGGGGGGGGGAGGATGACCAGGAGGGCCATAATGGAGGAGGAGTAGGTAGGAGTAGTTGTAGGAGTGGGAGGAGGAGGAGGAGGAGGAGAGGAGGAGGGAGAGGGGAGGAGGAGGAGGAGGAGGAAAAGGAAAAGGAAAAGGAAGAGAAGGAAGAGAAGGAGAAGGAGAAGGAGGCGGAAGCGGAAGCGGAAGTGCAGGAGTAGGAGGAGGACAAGCAGGAGGAGAAGGAGGAGGAGGAGAAAGAGGAGGAGGAGGAGGACGGGGAGGGGGAGAACCAGGAGGATCAGACTTGGGGAGGAGGAGGAGGAGGAGGAGGAGGAGGAGGAGGAGGAGGACTTGGAGTGATATGGTTTAAAGGGCGCCTTAACCTTATGTGAGATGGCCTGCGGCCATCTCCACCCCAGGGTTGACAGGGGGACCTGCGCCACAGCAGGCCACCCTACATAGGGGTGACAGGAAGAATTTGACCTTTCCAGAACCCAACAACTTCTCGCCGGATCGACGAAAGACGCGTGTCAGACCTAAGTGTCCAATGCAATTTGTTGTGTTGCATCGCACGGCACGCGCACTCCATGCTCACGGTCCCTTGAGCCAAAAATTCTTCAGTTTTAACGCCGGTTTGGGCGCAAACTGCTTTAACAGTTTTAACGCCTGCTGCGCCGCAGCGTCCCTGTGACATTTGCAGCGCCTTGCGTGGCTTGGGAGGATAGTGGATGAGACGGTTCGCCCAAAATCTGGGTAGTTGCAAGTTCCCGTGCTGACGATTTGTGGTCGTTTGAGTGAGCAAAAAGTGCGTCCCTACTCTTGGGGCGCGGTGCGGCATGGATTCAAGGATACGCCGGTACACCCAAAAGTAAGCCCAAAGTAGCCGCAACAAAGTGTGGCTCTGGTATGTGATGTTGCGTCTGTCCCGGCTGCGTGGCCGATAACTTGGGGGTGAGGTGCCGCAAGCTAAAATCCCAGCAGCAAAACTGTGAGACTCGATGATTGGTGGGGCAGGTGTGCTAGACCGCTGGCATTTCCACCGGGCTGTTGCCCGGAGGGCTGAGCCTCTGACATGTCGAAAGAAAATATGACCGCTGGCATTGCCGCCAGTCTGATTCCAGGAGGCGCTTGTCACGTAGGTGGGGTAGGTGTGCAGGGGACCGCCGGCGTTGCCGTTGGGCTATGTCCCGGAGGTTAAAGCCTCCGACGAATCGAATGAAAACAACCGGCTGTGTCCAAGAGACGCATGCCTCGTGGGTGGGGTAGGTGTGCGGGGCCATTATTTCCGCCGTGCTGTGGCCCGGAGGGCTGGACCGCCGACATGTCGAAAGAAAATA